CTAAGGCAGCGTTACGTGATTTTATCGCTATATGCTTATTATAATCTAGATGTTGATCAAAGGAAATGCCCAAAACCTTTAAGCATTTCTTGTTTGGGGTTTATTTAAGGGAATTATGCGAATTCCGTACAGTTGTAGTACTTCTGAAGACTATTTACATATTGTATTCAACGCCAAAATCAACACTCAAAAATTGGCTGAATCTGTCACTTAAACTCAACGTTTCCCAATGTCAGAAATTGTATATCCATAGTTCTTGTGCTTCTTTACCTATACCTAGGTTCTTTTGAAATAAAACAGTGAGCCCCACGCAACACCCGAACTAGCTCTATTAAAACTGATTGGACTTTTACCACTACTTCATAGCTCTATTGAAACGAAATGGACATTAACAACGTACGTTATAGCTCTATTGAACCGAAATGGACATTAAAAACGTTCGTTATAGCTCTATTGAAACAAATGGACATTAACAACGTACGTTATAGCTCTATTGAAACGAAATGTACCTTTAAAACGTACTTTATAGCTCTATTGAAACGAAATGGATCTTTACAACGTACTTTATAGCTCTATTGAAAGGGAATGGACATTAACAACGTACTTTATAGCTCTATTGAAAGGGCATGGACATTAACAACGTACTTTATAGCTCTATTGAACCGAAATGGACATTAACAACGTACGTTATAGCTCTATTGAAAGGGAATGGACATTAACAACGTACTTTATAGCTCTATTGAAAGGGAATGGACATTAACAACGTACTTTATAGCTCTATTGAACCGAAATGGACATTAACAACGTACTTTATAGCTCTATTGAACCGAAATGGACATTAACAACGTACTTTATAGCTCTATTGAAAGGGAATGGACATTAACAACGTACTTTATAGCTCTATTGAAACAAAATGGACATTAACAACGTACGTTATAGCTCTATTGAAACAAAATGGACCTTTACCACATACTTTATAGCTCTATTGAAACGAAATGGACCTTTACAACGTACTTTATAGCTCTATTGAAACGAAATGGACATTAACAACGTACGTTATAGCTCTATTGAACCGAAATGGACATTAACCACGTACTTTATAGCTCTATTGAAACGAAATGGACATTAACAACGTACGTTATAGCTCTATTGAACCAAAATGGACATTAACACCGTACTTTATAGCTCTATTGAAAC